CCATGGTTATCCATGGGCTCTTAGGTACTTGCTTAGATCAACTTGCCTTGGTTTTCAATTGTTTGAAATGGTGCTTGGTGTGTGGTTTTGAAAAATGTTTTGAAAAAGATGCCTTGTATAGGCTACCCTTGTAACAATTCTTTACTCGAATGTTTTACAAAAGGTGTTTGTCTTTTTGAAAATATGTTCCAAGGTTTTTGAAAGTTTGTTTTGAAAGTGTTTGTGAAGTGCGGTTTGAAAATAGGCAAGTGTTTTGTTTTGCAAGTTGACAAGTACTTAAGAGCTATCTACCCTAAAGTTCTCAAAGATTTTTGTTATGTTTTAACCCTTTTAACAATTTTGTTCCACCATTGCATTTGGTGGACAATCTTGTGTTAGGAGGTGAAAGGGACGGGCGCGGGTCATCGTTTAGACCATAATTGCAATAGTGCTAAGTATCTTTGGGCAATTTTCTTTGAAAGGGACTTGATCATTTTAGGCAACTTTTTGAAAGCGTCATCGAGGCACTATGATCATTTGATTGTTTGTTTTACCCAAAGAAACCTAACATGCAATATGGCCCATTATTGAAGGCAACAAGTGGAATACCCTAGGGGTGCGAGTGTGATAAGTGTTGTCCATATTCATGCTTGATTATCTTGAAATTAGGTCAAACTATTTTGTTCTTTTTATTTGCATACAAACCCTAATTCTAGCATGGTACATTTTAGAAAGCGTTAAAGTGCGAAAAGTAAAATTCCTACACTATTACAACACAATATGGGAAGGGTGGTACAAATGTTCAAATGGGGGGATATTTAGACAAGAAATTAAAACCTAGCTATTACATCAATTTTGGAATATTTACAAGATAATTGATTGCATAAATTAAATGGAAAATAAAATAAAGATGCAAAATGCAAAAAGGGTTTTTATATGTATGAAAAAAAAGTATTATTTATGTCAAATAAATAAAATAAAAAAAAGTATTATTTTTGGAGTTTTTGTATTTTAAGGGTAAAACCCTAATTTTTATTAAGTAATATATATATTATTTAATTTATACAAGTATTTGTTTATTATGTACAAAAATAAAATAAAATGAAGTATATTTATAAAAAGTATTTTTTTTATGTCAAATATTAATAAAAGAAAAAAAAGTATGTACTTTTGTATTTTAACCTAAATATACTAATAAATATATATATATATATATATATATATATATATATATATATATATATATATATATATATATATATATATATTAATTTCTAAATATGTATTATGTATATAAAAATAATAATAATTAATATTATATAAAAAATAGTATATTTTACATAAAATATTTTCAAAAGAAAAAAAAAGAAATAAAAATCAGAAATGAAATATATTTACATTATTTTTCTAGTTTTTTTCTAAATAATAGTGTATATATATTTATTTATGCATAAATGTTCATATAAACAAATAAATACCTAAAAAATGCAAAAATGGTGTAAAAATAATTTTTCAAGTTTTTAATATTATTAGCAAAAATAAATAAATCAGAATAAAAAAGAAAAGTCAAAAAAATCAAGCAAATAAATAAAATGGGCTCAGGGGGTGCAAAACCAAAAATATGGTGTGAAGAGAAATAACACAAAAGCCCAGCCCATGAAGCTTCTTCTTCAATCTTCAGCCAAAAACGTTCAAAAAAACGCGCGCCTGAACCTCCATTCAAACACCTGGATTCTTTGATCTTTTGCACAAACTTACAACATAAGAAATGTTAAGCATTGAATCACGATTCTAAATATATAAAGAACTCATCCTAACTCTCAGAAATGAGAGAGAATTTTGACATTCCCAAATCCTGACCTAACTTTTCTTCCATATTCAAACCTTAAATTCTCACAGCTCAAGCAAAATAAATGAAAAGTAAAAGCATGTACAGATTCAGGGGCATCAGTAGAACACTTCTTATTCACAAACCTAGAGCTAATGATGCCTACACTAAGAGTTAGAAGTTCACAAAGATACCTGTTCAGTTGAAGTTCTATCTGGCAATGGGGGAGCTTTCAGAGCAAGATGATGATCTGTATAGCTTGCCTGAAGTGTGGTGATGCTATTCCAATGCTTACTTTGCTTTGAAACACCTTGAATCGAGCTATGGACCTCCAACTGTAAAACAAGAAAGTGAAAATGGTGGAACTGGTTAGAGGAATTACAGGTCGTGTTTTGTGTTTTGGTTAGCTTCAAGTGATGCTAGGGAATGTGTTTGATGAGCTTTGGGTAAGAAATCATGAAAGGAATGAGAGATGGGATCCAATCTGCAGACCCTGCCCTGTTTCTGCAATTTGAGAGTGATTCTGGGAATGGGAGTGTTTGGGACCTTGTTTTCTCGTGTTCTAGCTTGGGTTGGATGATTAGAAGGTGTACAAAATAATTTCTTAAGTGTCCTAATGCTGAGATCAAAGTTGTGTGATGTTATGATGTGTTTCTTAACACTTAAGCAAACAAAAGCCACTTGAGTTTCTAGGCAAGTAGAGGCCCCCTAAACATGCTGCTAACCTTGTCTTGATCAGTGTGTTTTGCTCATAATCTTGTGCCAATTAGATTTCATCTGTACTTGTGGATTTTCAACTTTGACATAAAGCTTGCTTTTGCAAAAATGGCTATTTCACTTTTTCCATTTATGGCCTAATCCAACATGTAATGCTAAAACTCATGAAACAAGCCCTTAGCACAATGAACATGCATTAAATTATTGAGTGTTGGATGGTTTAAGGGCCTGTAATCAAGTGGCATGCTGGTTTGAGAAATTTGCACAAGTTATGAACATGTACATGGCCATGAATCAAAGTGACTTTTTTCCATATTGCAAAATTCGATTCTCTCAAGTTATGAGGTTGTTTGATGAGTTCTTGGACATTTTGGAAAGCTTGGAATGTGTACTACAATCCATCTTTGAAATGAAAATTGAAATTCCAAGTGGAAGTATATGGAAAATGGTCTTGAAGTTAGGTAGAAAACCTTGCCAAAATAGGTTAAAATTTCACTAAGTTAAGAATGGTTTAGTACCCTTATTCCAAAACTTGTAACTTGAGATACAAGCCTCATTTAGGAAAACTTTGTGAATCAAAGTTGTAGATTATGCAACAAGCTACAACTTTCATGTTTTGACTTTTGTTTGAATCCAAATGAATCTTGGTGAGAAAGTGAGGCAAAGTTGAAAAAAAATTAGGGTTTTTCATAACTTAGAAAAATTCTAAGTTATGAAAAATTCTCATTTCTAACCCTAATTTGCATCTTTTGATTTCTTGGTGAACAAGTTTCATGATTTGGCATGTTTTGATGAAAAATGAATCTTGACTCTTGATTTTGACCAAAAAGTCAAAGCTTGACTTTTCAGTATACAGTCAAATTTGATCAATTGACTGGGAAATTCAACTGTCAATCTTGTGTACTTGGAATCTTTTGAACTTGTTGAGCATGTCAAGAAAATTCCATGGGGTCCTTGAATCCATATGTGAGCTTGGTTTGCCATTGGCTAGGTCAAACAGTCAAAAATTGCCCTTGTGCAGTCAAAACCCTAAAAATGACCATTTTGCCCTTTTGGTGATCTGATCAAATTCCTTGTGGAATTGTGATCCAAACTTGATCAAATGGTCCATGTGAGTTTATAATGTTGATGTGGGTCAATTTTCATGAGATTTGACTGTCAATTGGCGACAGTTGACTTTTTCCCCAATACAACTGATTTCTAGGTCAACTGTCCAATTGACTGGGCAAAACTTGGAATCAAGACTTGAAACTTGATGTGGATAAACTTGGGAGTCCAATATGAAGCAAGAGAGTCATCTTAGGCATTTTAGGTCAAAACATCTTTGTGCAAACACAAACCCTAATTTGGGTCAGCAGTGCAAGGAGAAGTCTTGAGCAGATGAAATCCTAACTGGATCTTGATCTCCAAGGGCTCTGTGATGAGAAATCAATGAGAAATGGGAGGGAAAATTTTGGGGTACAACAGAAACCCTCAAGCATACCATATATGCTTGCATCATATTGCACAACATGATCGTTGAAGACGAACGCACACATATGGAGGTGATTTTGATTACTCTTATGATAATGTAGATGACACCTACTCAACAACTAAAACATTTAACGGTCCTTATCCGAATCTTGCAACAAGACTACAAAGAAGAGCAAGTCTTCGTGAAAAATAAGTTCATCGTCAACTTCAAGGAGATCTAGTCGAGCATATTTGGGAACGTTTTGGAGATGAGAATGATGAAAATTAAATTTGAGTAATTCTTTTATGTTATTTATTTTTAATGTTTTTAATTATATGTCATGTATTTGAGATTAATTTTAATTATCATTTTAAATTTTATGTTTAATTTTAATTTAATTTATTTTATATTAATTTAAATTTAAATAATTATTTTAAATCAAATAAAATTTAATATGAATAAAATATTAATATATAAAGTAAAGATGTGGGACCTAATTTGAGTTCTTTAGAGTTGCACCATTTGAATGAAAATTGAATGAGTTGCTTCAAGATGATACGGCTTAATGGGTCCCACAAAAAATCAAAAATTGGGTTGTACCATTGGAGGTACTCTTCGAGAATTCAAGCAGAAAATCAACATGTACATTGCAGTGTTGAGTTTCCCCTCTCGTAGACAATGGCACAATCAGTGTTCTATGAGCAACCCAATCAGCGCTCTATTAGCACCTCAATTGTAAATAAGCCACACACTTATATATTAAATGTGATGTAGTCTGTATGTACTCTGAAGACAATTCTTTTTGTGTTAGTGTAACACTTCGATATTTTATTGTTGCTCATATATGTGTGCTATATATTACTGAGATGTAGTAAATTCCATGTGCAATAAGTTTTTTAGATGAAACAATATACTTAAATGTAAAAACTTGCAGACATATGATTAGTAACTACCAACCAAACAGAAACAAACATTGAGGTATTGCATTACATTTATATTAAATTGTCGAAGACAAACTTACTTTCAAAAATAGGAAACCAAACTTTCAACATAACTCACACTAATCCACCACCAAAGGCTAATGATTTTCTCCACTCTATTATCTCTCAAGTTATAGAAAATTGCTTTGCCACTAGGTCTGCTTGTCAATAATAATGTACCATTCTTCTCCAAAACACATTCCGGCAACAAAGAACAGCCATCAAATAGATAATCCATTTGAAGATTATGATAATTAATTTTAAGAAACTGAATCCAAGAGTCTTCCACTCCAAACTCCTTCATTTGCCATATAACATAATGAACTTGTTTGAGATTATAAGAAAAACAAAGACACTCATTTAACACGCTTAATCTTGGCTCGATAAATGGCATTTCATCAAAATCTTTATCAAAACCCTTAGGAGGTAGCAACTGAGTATGTGTCTCAGTACCCAAATCAATTGAAATAATCACAAATTGCTTGATAGTAATATCATTGCTGTCGTAATAAGAACCTGAGTGATACTGAATTGCCAACCAACTAACTCTTCCGCTGAGATACACCGCAGAATCTTCGCTGAGATATCCATGAGGATATTGAATATATCTCCAAGTATTATCGCGCAAGCTGAAAACTCTTACCTTCGTGCTCTTTAACTCCACCACCTTATATGTGTTAGTTGATTCATCCCAACCAAATGTGAAACTAAAAGGATCAATGATACTGTCTTCGTCATGCCAAGAAGAACAAAAACATAATCTTTGTGATATTGTCTTGGTGGCCGGGTTCCAAATTTGAAACCATATCTTCTCAATATATTCATCGACAATAGAGTGGCCTAACAAGCATAGCAATCCATTGCAGGAACCAACTACAAAATGGAGTTCATTGTTTCGAAAAAAGTATTCATTGTCTTTCATTTGAAAGTAAGGATCCTTGGGAAGAGTGAAGTAGTTCAGAGATTTCTCGAACAAAGGAAAAAACGCGATGTATGCGACCATAAAATCATCGTCATCTACAAGCGTGATATAAGTATTTTGTGAAGACCTGTTAAGGTGTAATTTGACGAAGGTTGGATCGGAGATGAGAGAGTTCCATGACTTGCACACACATCTGAGACGCAACAGTTGCTTTACAGTAAGACATGATAACACTTCTGCAATGAGTTCATCGGGGATGAATACCGATGGTGGTGACACCTTGTGTTTACGCCGCGAGGGAGAAGGAGTGAAGAGACTCATTTGAAGCATTGAACCCTAATCACACAGTAAAACCAACGATTGTTTGTAAAAAAAAATTGTTACGTACTTTGTAAACCTACTTTACCTTATATAAGGGATTTTCGTTAGCCAATACAAAAACTGCCCACATTCATCGGGGGCATTTGTTACATCTGATGTGACATCAAACCAATTTTTGTTACATTATTTTTTTATTTTGTAACAAATATTTTAATAAACTAAAATAAACCTAATAATGAGCATTATGCCAATTTATAAGATTTTGTTTATTTTTTAACCAATGTTTTAATAAACCAATATAAACCTAATAATGAGTATTATGCCAATTAGTTGAAAATATAAATTTATTAGGGAATCTGAAAGGTCTTTTGAAGAGACCAAACTTTTTAGAATTTTCCAACAATCTTGAATAATTGGATACCCAAAAATGCTATTAAAGAATGCCTATCAAGTGTCACAAATCAAACCCTGAAGAATTTCAACGGTCTCTTCCTATTTCTTCTCTTCATATTTCATTTTTCGCAATGTTGTTGTTGTCATTTTCTTATCTCAATCAACATATACGTGATACTAACTAACTATTGATCCATTTGATAATATAGCAAACAGATATTCACGGTATGGCTCGCCCTGTTGAAGCTGTGAAGGACATCAATGATTCAAAGAACTTATGGAAGATAGCCGTCAGGTGTAAACATCTGTGGACTGTCACCAGTGCTTCAAACAAAGAACACTTGTAGATGATTTTGGTTGATTCAAAGGTAATATCTTTTGTTCACTTATGTTGCAAATTTCTTCATATTTATTGTTGTTGTTGTCTAATAAATCTAAATCTGTTGTATGTAGCTCGATATGATTCAAGTTATCGTACCTCCTTATTTGGTTCCAAAATTTACGACGCAACTTGCAGTTGGATGTTCTTACATCATGCAAAATCTTAAGGTCTCCAACAATGATTTCACTTTTAGGTCTACTAAGCATAGTTTCAAATTGATTTTCTGTGGATCTACTTCAGTGAAAAAACTGAACTTTCTGACATTCTGTTGAACTATTTTAACATACTTGGATTGGATGCAATAGTTGATGGAAATTTTGAGTCAAATCTTTTGGTTGGTGAGTTAAACACATTTGTTAATTAGTTTTATATGTAGATTTGTTAATAGTAATCACATAATTTGAATTTAATCCTCAAATTTCTTTATAGATATTATTGGAGGAGTTACTGAGATAACTCAATCACAGATAATTGCTGATAACAACAAGAGCAAAGTTGTTCGACTATCCTCAACCAAGCTTACCAAAGATATCAAAATGGAGAAATAGTTTCTGTTATTTATTAGGCATGTTTATCCTTTTTTTTTATTTGAACAATATAATGTGTTTCTTAGATATTTTACTTTGGTAATGTTACTTTATTTCCAATAGTTTCTGTCATTTATTAGGCATGTTTATCCTTTTTTGATTTGAACAATATAATGTATTTCTTAGATATTTTACTTTGGTAATGTGTCCATTGGAAGCATCAAGGACCTTCAGACACAAAACGCCCAGTTCCAATAAATGTTCATAAGTCTGGCAAAAGGGCAGGAGGATCTGAAAGCGCTCGTCCTAAAAGAGAAAAAGAAAAAGAAGAAGGTTGTCGGTATTCTGAATATGGGTAGAAGGTTTGGAGAGCGGTTGAAGCGAAAAGTCGATCTGACCTCTTCATCTAAGGAAGGGGAGAATTAAGAAGAAGAGACAGGGGAGAAGGACCCCAGTCCTGCAGTTTCTGACAATGATACCGACTATAATGATGAGCAATATTCTCCTGCAAAGGATAGATACAAGCAGTTGGAAGATCGTTTGAGTTCCATGAAAGTTTAGAGGATACCTGGGCTGGACTTCAAAGAATTGGGATTGGTGTCGAGAGTGGTCATTCCGCAGAAGTTCAAAGCTCCAGTTTTTGCTAAGTATGATGGGTTGTCCTGCCCAAAACTCTATCTCCGTTCTTATGTCAGAAAGATCCAGACCCACACCGTTGATAGAAATTTGTGGGTTCATTTCTTTCAAGATAGTATGTCAGGGACTCAGCTTGAATGGTTCTACCAGCTGGAGGGAGCCAATGTCCGAAATTGGGAAGATCTGGTTGCTGCTTTCTACAAGAAGTATCAATATAATGCCGACCTTGCTCCTAAAGAATTCAACCCCCATTGTCTGATAGGGAGTTGGTTGATATGTTTCTGGGGATGCTATCTGGTCCATTTTTCAATCATTTGATCGGAAACTCGTCAGTTGGTTTTGCCGAGTTGATTCTAACTGGAGAAAGAGTAGAAGCTGGGATTCGGAGCGGCGAGATACAGAAGGATACCTCTTCGAGCTCAGTAAAGAAGCCTTTTGCTGGTAAGAAGGAAGCGAGTGCCATCTATAGCACGAGGGGCCAAAACAGGGCTGAACATTGTCAAACAGTAAGAGTCGTAATGATACCTAGGCCTGCAGTTGCTCCACAATGCAACAATCAACAAAAAGTGGAAAGACCACAACGGCAGTTTACCCAAATCAACATGACATTGGCTGAAGTTCTACCTCATCTGCTGAAATCCAACTTGGCAACCTTGAAAGAGGCTCCCAAGAATCCAAATACTATATCTCCCCGATATAATCCAAATGCTCGGTGTGCCTATCATTCTGAGAGTCCTGGCCACAATACCAATGACTGTTGGGCTCTAAGAAACAAGGTACAAGATCTGATTGAAGCCAAGGAAATTGAGTTTGATGCTCCGGAGAAGCCCAATGTCATAACTTCTCCCATGCCTAAGCACGGTTGTGGAATTAATGTTGTTGATACCGACTTGTTTGTGACCTTGGTGGATGAAATTTCTACTCCTCTCAAGACTGTGAAGAAGAATTTGCTGTTGGCCGGTTTATTTCCGGGTTGTGGTGAAGGTTGCCACGTATGTTCATTTCTGCCTTCTGGTTTCCATTTGCTGAAGTCAGGTGTTCAACGCCTGATGGACAACAAAGAAATTTTGTTCGAGAAAACTTTGGTTCCTGTTGTTCCATCTAAAGACATTGCCATTATAACCATTTCCTCCAATCATTCCAAGGTCTCCTCGAGAAGACCTGTTAGGATTACATCTGCTCCAAGAATTGCTCTGTTGATAATCACTGTTCCTGATCCTGTCCCGTATGTCTCAGACAAAGCTATCCCCTGGAATTATGGTGCCGATGTGTACTATCATGGCATCAAACAAGATTTGAAAGATGAAGAGGTTGATCCTGATATTGGTAACATTATCGGAACCAGCAAATTTACCCGAAGTGGAAGGGTCTTCTCCCCCGAGATTTCCCCTAAGACTGTCAACAAGCCTATTGTCATTCCATCTGTTGTTCCTGCTAGTACATCAACTACTGATTCTGTTCTTACTCCAGTTATTACCCCTGTCGACGAATCGTCTGATACCTGCGGCAAAGAAATTATAGGTGAGCCTTCCCGGACGGAGGCGCCAAGGAAAATTGTTGTGGAAGCCTCTAAGCAAGAGATAGAGGAAATACTGAAAATAATTAAGAAAAGCGACTACAATGTGGTCGAGCAGCTGGTGCAGACTGTCATACCCCAATTTTTGACCTAAGATCCCTGCTTCATTTGCATTGTTTTATATATACATCAAGGTCACAGAATATGGTAGGTTTCGAACGTTTCACCTTCGAGCTTTGACTATGTAGAGATTATCGAGTGTTGTGAGCATTTTTATCTTATGAATGACTAACCATTAATCAAGAACAAAGTGTATGTTTTGTTGTTTTGTTTTCATGTGCAGGAAATAGGTCTGAAAGAAGAGCATCGGACGTCGCACATCAATTAGGGTTTCGAGTCTTGGGGCAGAAATGCGGTCGGTTGTTAATTCTCAAAAGCTGGTTCATCAAAAGAATTTCAGAGAATCGTGTGTTTATTTCCACACTCTGTCCAACAGATGGTCTCCACCTTCTCTGAATATTTTTCAGAAAGAACGGTCGAAGTTTTACTATCTTTGGTTCATGTGTGTTCCATATTATTCTAAAATACAAGAAAACCAAGCTATGCCCGTCATTTTCGATCACTTCGACCAAAGGTCATCTGCAAATTTTCTCATGACGCAGGGTGAATTTCGTCAAAATGGAATGATTAAATTCAAAACCGTTCTAGAAGAATTTATTCAGAATACTTGGAATATTCTTTATTTGAATTCAAGCGATAATTAAAGAGGAGCTACCAAGAGATCTCATTCAAGAATAATCATTTATCGCATGAAATATTTATTCAAGATTATTTTTGTGATTATTTTGGTGGATTTACATTATGGTTATTTGAACACACGTGAAGCATTTATTTAAGAAGATATTGGGAAAAGGAATTCGATCCAATTAATCGTTCATCACAAGATTAATTACATGAGGATTTCTATTTGATTACAAAATCAATTCATGTGATTTATTTGGATCTCTATTACAAAATGCAAGATTAAAGTCTAAGACTTGCATTATTATTTATTCATCATTCAACAATTTATTCAAGTACCATTCAATTCTTTCCCAATTCAAATGGAAGACCTTGAATTTTTATCAAGACATATTAAGATTCACTATAAATAGAGGCCTCCATCAACACAAAAAGGGAGACAACAAGAGAAACCAAAAATTCAGCAAGAGGGAAAAAACAGAAAGAGAGTTTTTGTTCCAAAAATTCAGCAAGAGGAAAAAAACAGAAAGAGAGCTTTTGTTCCAAAAACTCAGTAGAGAGGAAAAATCAGAAGAACATAGCAAACTCAAGGAGAGAAACTTACTATCTTTTAGAAGCCCCATCGGAGAGGCTCTGATAGGTATTATTTTCTTCTTCCTCTCTATCTATTTCTGCATATATTCATGTTTAAATCATCTTCTGCGCTATTTTTTTCTGCCATACGATGCTTGCCTCATCATACTTTCTTTGCTGTATTTTCTTTGAGTCACTGCATTTTGTTAGCATTTAAATTTTTTTAGAATTCATAGTAATA